CTTCAAAGAGAAGGTTGAAAATCTGAGTGCTCCTGGAAGTCACCTATAAAACAAAAGAATATGGCCAAGGAGGCAATTTTCTAAAGAAATATATGTAAATGTGAGTTGTTTTAAACTAATGACTCAGAATGACTAAAATTCTGAGGGTGCAATCTTAGGAATGCCATTTCAGGTTCCAGTCAGAAAAGAGAAAAAAAAAATACACAAACAAGGAAGACTTCAGAATTACTTATCAAAAGGAGCCACTTCCCCCACGTATATCGTTTTTATGTGAGGTTTCATTGCCTGGTAGTGTGTTGAATTGTGTGTTTAACTTTTACGAGTCCATCTTTTCTACTTTACATGGAGGTCCAAAGAAAACCATCCAGGCCTATGAGCTTTTACGCTGTTGACCATACTAGAAACTATAAATTTAGGAATTAAGCTGTTACCAGTAAATTCCAAAAAGATGCCAAGTGAACTGCATTAAGGTGAAACCAAATTTCTTGCTTCACATAATTAAAAGAAGTTCATGTTCATGGAACAGAGTGAAGTGTAAAATAACTACAAAACAAAATATATTTAAGACCTGTCTAAAATTGTATAAAACTTCTACCAGATCTGCCACATGTCCCCAGTTTCCTTCAGCATACATGATTAGTCACTAATGGCTTTTTGCATATTATTTTCACTAAAAGTCCACACATTTTTTGGATTAAGTGATACAAATTAGAACTGTTCAGATTTCACACAAACTAGAAACAAGATAACAGCTTGCTACTCAGAAAAGGAAATAAGCAATTCTTTGTAGAGCAAACAGAGATCAGACTGGTATGAAAATAAAATCAGCAACCCAAGATATTGGCTCTGAGGAACGAAAACCACTGTTGGCTCACAGGTCCTAAGAGGAAAGATAGATGGCTGCAGCAACATCATAAGGCCCAAAGTGTGCCACATGGCTGAGGTCTATACTGACCAGCACTATTTGTAGGATTCAAGAGCCTGGAACCCAAAATAAAGTAGAAGTGTTTTTTAGTATCACTCTACACGGTCAGCATGGTGTTTATGTTCTAAAACAAGTAAGGGCATTCATATTTCCTCCAAAGTGCTGGGCCTCCGTGTAACACAAGGGTGTATTATCATGGACAACTTATCTACAATTCTTATACGTTCCAGCAGAAAAACCAACCATTTTCGTGGAATGTGGAGGAGGCAAGAGAGGAATTTGTATAACTCACTTATCCAGGCTCAACTCAAGACTTAAACCACAAGAACCGTAACGGAGGAGGTCTTGTCAACATTATCTTAGTAACTCATGTCTTGCATGATCATGTCAGTGCCGAGGAAGTTTGCAAGAAGGGAGACAATCAGTCTCTACTGAAGGAGTGTATTCAGTTGGGAATGAAGTGAAAGGCTGTAAGTCAGATATTGGGTATGCTTATATAAACTTTATCTGACTTCAGACTTTTTAGGAATAGTATGAAATTTCTATGTTACCAAAGTCACACGCAAAGAAAATAGATATTATGTGTAGCATAATATTAAGCAATTGTGAACGGTATCACTTCTGGTATAAAGACAATTAAGTATAGGGCCACAGCATCCTCAAGATGCATCACTGAGATCTTCAATTAAAATCAGTTATTTTCCCTATATGACTATAAATCTAGACTTGGTTATCAAATAAATCAGGTTCTGGACCTTTCTTTCCCTTAAAAACCCATGTACCTGGCAAGAGAATTAACACAAAATTAACTACCAGGTTGAAAAAAATAAACTGTCCATGTTGGTAAATAATTACCCAAATTAAACATTTCAAATGTTCAGCATAACCTAGACCAAACACTCTCAATCATGCTAATATTAGAAACAGATGTCAACAATCTACATTTACATATATATTCCCTAATCTTAGAAAAACTGTTAAAAAGCTGAGAGGATCGATGAAATATTATTTAAGCAATGAGAATGACCTGCCTAGCAACCAGGATAAAGGAGTGTAAAGGAGTGTCGTCTCGGGATCCCTGGGTGGCACAGCGGTTTGGCGCCTGCCTTTGGCCCAGGGCGCGATCCTGGAGACCCGGGATCGAATCCCACGTCGGGCTCCCGGTGCATGGAGCCTGCTTCTCCCTCTGCCTGTGTCTCTGCCTCTCTCTCTCTCTCTCTCTCTGTGACTATCATAAATAAATAAAAATTAAAAAAAAAAAAAGGAGTGTCGTCCCTATACCTTGCATACTTGACTTGCCACAGACCCGCTCTCTTACAATCTCAGGTGATAACACCCCTTGTAAATGAAAACATGCTAGAGTTCTATATCTAAAGTAGAAAAAAAAATATTTATGTGAGAAGGTCTGAATAGAAAACGCATAATTCATTTGTACCTTAAAAACATACTTCAAGTATGTTAGCATATTTTAAAAAAAACAATTCCTCAAGCCATCATTAGGCATTTCTCTGGTAATTTGCACATTTAAATAATGAAAATTCCCTTTAACTTGACAGACTTCTGCCTAGCTTTTACTGAATTGAAGTGGATCCCATATACACATAAAGGCTGTCCTAAATGTTCACCGTGAACATCTAATCACTGCTAGGTACTTATTTTCAATCTCATTCAGTAGCATACACTCTCCCTTTGGTGACCAGTTCCAGGTCTCAAGAACACAAAATCTCAGAGAACTTAAAAGTATCTTGAGTGACGTCTTCACAATTAAAAATAATCAGGAAAGGCATTAATTTATTTTTGTAAAAGGCAGAAAGTCCAGTGGAACAGAGTAAATCAAAAATTTCCTAACAACTTGTTATTTTAAGTACTTCTTTGTATCTGAAATTCCCTAAACAATCTTAGATATTAAAATAACTCTGAGATTAACAAGTCACTTTATACCCCTGTTACCGGATGGCAAAGAAGTCATTCACTTGACTAATTTCTGAACTAACTCTTACATAATTTCCCTGATCATATTCCCTCTTTAGGAATTACATGAATGTCCTACACTTACCTTTAATGCATTTTCAGAGGCAGCAACAAAATACAGCGGCAGTAATGTGATCACACGAATGAGATGCTTACATTTCAATCTAACAAATTATCTGTAAGGGTTTTGAAGAGATCTTATCTATGAAGAGTGCAGAAACAAAGCCCTAGATTCTAAAAACACCAAAACATTCCCGTGTTTTCAAACTCTCGAGTGTCAACTGATTAACAAAATATTGTATAAAGTTTTGGAAGTTCTTCTAGAAAATCTATGGTGTAACAAATATAACAGTTTCAAGACCCATCCACATCTGTCACACAGAAACACATAAAAGCTGCAAGAGTTAATTATGCTCAAGTGCTTCAGGGGCAAATAACTGGTTTCAACTATCCACACTATCCAGGTACACAGATTCGCTTTTCACGAGAAAAAAGTCACATTATCTTTCGAAACTCATAAATTTCAAGCCACTACTATGCCTTCCTCTACTAAACCCTTGTCAGTTAACTGAAAAGATTTTCTGATGGAGTGGAGGAAAGGTGATAGGAAGACATAAGGGGAACACAGAAAACTGTGGTTTAGTTAAAAAGCAGAATCATTCAGAATTAACAAGCAATTAACAAGGAATTGAGGAATTCCTAAGAGAGTAAGGGGGGGGGCTACAAAAAGGTCTCAAAGTCTCAGAGCAGAGTAAATGGTACAGTGCACGGAAAGGATAATGCAAAGAACGGAAACACAAGGTACACAGAAAAAGAGGGAAATACGCTTCTGAGAGAGAAGTTATTAATTAGAATCTTAAGGATCAGGCACAGGCAGTGTTTCGTTCTTGCTGGGGAGACTGGGTGCCAGGGAAGAGCTGCATTTCCAGGTAACTAGGCTGAAAAGAAAGCAGTGCCTAATGAGGTAGGGGCCAGGAATAAACAATGGGGGAGGGGAGGTCTGGCTTATTACCTTTATAGAGGATGCTGATCAGAGGCTCTCTGCGGCTTCTCCGGTGGGCGGCTTGACCCCTTCGTGCTCTCTCGTCTCCTCCAGCCAGCTCAAACCTGGAACGCAGAGACCTGTGAGTGGTGCAGGGACCCAGGGGCTGTGAGGAAGGGGTTAGCCAAGGAAGAGTGGTAAGGGCAGGCGGGAAGGAGCAGGGATTCTCCCTCCCCAGCCAGCGCCCGGCCCCTCCGGCGGAGGTAACTGACTTTACCTGTCTCCTCAGCTGCTGCTTCTCTTCCTCCTTTCAGGCTTCTCCACACTCACCAACTTCTCCATTGAACAAACACTCCAGGCAGGGCCGGACACGGGTGTTCCTGATCCTTCTCGGCGCCTCACGGCCCCAGCCCGGCGAGCATCCGGACAGCCGAGCAGAACGGAGGCGACGGTCCTGAGCGCCGGGCAGCCTCGGGGCAGGGGTGCAGGGAGGAAGTCCCGGCTCGGGTGGGGGGGCAGCCCCGGTCTGAGGGCTCGGAGCAGGGGCTGCCGCGCTCCGGGCCGGAGGCTCCCAGCTACGGGGGCACACGGGAGGTCTCCGGGCAGCGAAGTCCCAGGTCATACAGGGTCTGAAGTGCCAGCCGCGGGGGCTCCAGGCAGGGGGCTTTCGGGATGCACTTTGCACTGGGCCACCCCCGCCCCCTCCCTCCAGCACTTTGGGGTCACTGGGATGGGACCAAGCCTTCAGCAGCCAATCAGCGGCCGCATAGGAGCCTGAGCCCGGAGCCGTAAACCAGGTCTGGGGTGGGTGGGGGTGGGGGGTGGGGGCGACTTGGTTGGTTGGTTGCTTCCTTCTCTCCTCCTTACCCACGGCAGCCCCCGCCCCTTGCCTGCCGTAAAGCCGTCTGCGCATTCGCGACAGTTAGAAGAGGCGTGCCGACCGAGGCTGGGACTCGTTTCGGATTGGTCTCGCTCACTTCCCCCTCGGCTTCCCCGCTGAGGCTTCCGACGCTCCGCCCCTGGCGGAGGGACTCGACGCGGTTGCTAAGAGACGCCGTCCGCCGAACGGGCCCTCTGCGCATGCGGGAGGGGAGGTCGGCAGGCGCTTTCCGTGAACTACGGTGGCCTGGAGGGTGCCCCCGGTCCTTCGAATGGCGGTGCGAAGGCTGAGTCTCCCACGCCAGATCCCCGGCAGGTAACTGGGAGCGGCGGCGAGGAAGGCGTGTGTGCGGCCGACTGAGAGGCTGGTGCAGGAGTCTAAGGTTGGGGAGGCGGCAGTCCCCAGGAAGCGAGGAGAGAGGGACGCCGTGTGCCGCCGCCCCTCCGCAGCGCTTTTCAGGCGCGGGTGCCGGGTCCGCAGCTCGTCTTTCGGTCCCTGAGGCCCCTTTAGCTACCAGGCCGGGCTTGCCTCGCCCGGCGAGGAAAAGAAGACTCTCTTTGGGACGGCGGTGACGCTGCAAGAGCCTTCCTGCAAGGACAGGCACCCTAACGGATTTCTGACAATGGAGGGGACCGGAGACCGGACAATACGCGAGATGCACCTGTTTATGGAGTGCATGGATTCATTTAGCAAGCGTTTGTTGGCCGGGAGCTGTTTCAGCCGTTAGGGAGACAAGAGGGAACAAGGAAGATGGAATCACTTGTCCCCGTGGAGCTCTCGCTTTAACCAGGGAGACAGATAAACACAAAATTATCAGATAGGGATAACTTATACAAAGGAAGTCGAAGAGAACAATAGGATCGAGTTTGACTAGGACCTGCTGGTTAGAGAGGTAGTCAGGAAAGGTCTCTGAGGAAGTGACATTGGAGCAGCGATCTGAATGAGGAGGAGCCAACCTTGGGTCGATCTGGGAGGAGGTGGGGGCGTGGGGAAGAATTTTGCAGGCAGGTAGAATCAACAGTGCAAAGCCTCTGATGCTGGATTAACCTTTGCTGTGTAACAGAAACTGCAAGAAAGAAGATCAGCGTAGTCAAGCAGAGTGAGTAAGAGGGAGAATGATTGGTAATAAGGTTGGGGGTGTGGGACAGGCCGCAGATCTTTGCAGGACCTCGTAAGCCATGGTAGGGAAGTGACAGTATCGTATTTATATTTTGAAAAGATCACTGGCTGGCTGCTCACTGGAAAAAGACTAGCTGGAGCAGGGTTACTGCAAATGTGGAAGGCCACATAGTAATCCAAACAAATGTTGACATTATTTTAAACTAAGTCACCTAAAACACCGGACATTTGGCTAACACCAATGTCTACATAGAAAGGCCTACTTAGGGGATCCCTGGGTGGCGCGGCCGTTTGGCGCCTGCCTTTGGGCGCGATCCTGGAGACCCAGGATCGAATCCCACCTCGGGCTCCCGGTGCATGGAGCCTGCTTCTCCCTCTGCCTGTGTCTCTGCCTCTCTCTGTGTGTGTGTGACTATCATAAATAAATAAAAATTTTTTTAAAAAGGCCTACTTAATTATATAAAGGAAGGAATTTAATATACAATGGCTTTCATGTAATGAGATATATTAAGATGTTATGTGGCAGATAGGAGTCACTGCAAACACTTTGAATTTGTCCCCTGATGTTTTCTTTTACACTATCATTCATTCAAGAGTACACGTTTTGGTGCTTTCCTCATGAGCTACCAATTGGCTTATGTGAGCAAAAACCTCAGTCCTGCCCAGGGAAGCTCATAGTCCCAAGTGTGGGGAAAGCAAACTAGAAAATAATTATAAACAATGCAACGAGGTAAATACTGAGTATAGGTAGTATAGGCAGAGGGAGCACTTGGCAGGGCCCCCCTAATACTGAGTTGGATATGTAAAAAGTTTCCCAGGACCGCAGATTTCCAAATTAAAGGTTGGAAGTGAGGGAGAAGGTTGACTATGGCTTAGAAAGAATGTGCCAAACAAAGCTTGGGAACCCTTAAAATGCACGGTTTTGAGGGCCTTAGAGGAAGCCTGTAGCTTAGTTTATGGGGTGGGATTGGTAAGAGGATTCCAAGAAGCAGATCTTAAAGGACTTGCCAAACTGTGTCCAGGGTTTTGGACTTTGCAGAGGTTTTTCAGAAGAAAGGGGTGCAGGGTGGGCTAATTTCTCTTGCACTCAGCAAGAAATCTGTTGGTTGTCTGGGGTAGAAGTGGTGTGGAGGGTGAGAGAGGATGGAGGAGAAGAAAGGGTTCAGAAAGAGATCCAGATTTCTCAGTGAGAGTGAGGAGAAGTGGGGTGAGGAAGGGTCCAGAAAGAAAGAGATCCAGATTTCTAGCTTGGATGCCTAGGAGATACAGACACCATAAACTGAGAGGTAGGAGAAAACAAGTTTGAGGGGCCATAGAAGTTGAGTTGAACTTGTGCCAAAGGTACCTGTGGGACCTCCAAGTGGAACTTTGATGGCATTTAGCTACTTGAGTATGGAGCCCAGAAGATAGCTAGACCCTAACTATGGATTCTGGAGTTGTCAGCATGGAGATAATAATTAAATACATTGAGCACCCATGAAATTGCTCTAAGAAGAGAGAGGATACAGGGGACTGAACACTTAAAGATCCCAACATTTTTTCCCCCTGATTTTATAATCTCCCCTGAAATAATTGACATACATAACTCTATCAGAATAAGGCATACAGCATGATGGTTCAATTTACATATATTGTGAAATGATTCCACGATAGATTCAGTTAGCATCCACTTTACTATAGATACAATAAAAAGAAATGAAAGAAAAAGAGAAAAAATTTTATTGTGATAAAAACTCTTAGGATTTGCTCTCAGCAGCTTTAAAGGAATAGTCATCATATTGTACCTTATACTCTTAGCACTTATTTAACCTATAGTTGGAAGTATGTACCTTTTGGCCACCTTCCTCCAGTTCCCCCTCTGGCCCACCCTCTGCTTTTGATAACAAATTTGATCTCATTTTCTATGAGTTTGTTTAGATTCCACATACAAGTGAGATTGTCTTTCTCTAATTTGAATTAGCATAATGCCTTTAAGGTCCATCTGTGTTATTGCAAATGAAACTATTTTCTCATTTTTTTATGGCTAGATAATACTCCCATTTTGTGTGTGTGTGTGTGTGTGTATCACAGTTTTTTCATCCACTTAGCTCACTTCCATATCTTGGCTATTACAAATATGCTGTTAGGAACATGGGGGTGCAGATATGTTTTTAAGTTAGTGTTTTTGATTCTTTTGGATATAGCCTCAGATTTGAAATTGCCATATCATATGGTAGTTTCATTATTAATTTTTTAAGGACCCTCCATACTGCTTTTCCCTAGTGGTGCACAAATTTACATTGCCACCAGCAGTGCACAAAGATTCCCTTTACTCCACATCTTGCCAGCATTTGTTGTCTTCTTTTGATGGTGGCCATTCTTAACAGCAGTGAGGCGATATCTCATTGTAGTTTTAATTTGCATTTCCCTAATGAATGGTGATATTGAGCAACTTTTCATGTACCTTGTTGGCCTTTTATATATCTTATACGGAAAAAGGTCTAATTAGCTCCTTTGACCATTTTTAAATTGGGTTATTTGTGGTATTTTGTTACTGAGTTGTATGAATTCTTTATATATTCTGGGTATTAACCCCTTATTAGATGTATACTTTGCAAACATTTTTTTCTATTCCTCAGGTTTTTTTTTTTAATTTTGCTGATGATTTATTCAACTATGCAGAAGCTTTTTAGTTGGATATAGTTCTACTCGCTTATGTATTTTGTTGCTTGTGCTTTAGGTGTCATCCAAAAAACTCATTACCCACACCCATGTCAAGGAGCTTTATTCCTATGTTTTCTTCTAGGATTTTCTGTTTCAGGTCTTATATCTAAGTCTTTCATCCATTTTGAGTTAATTTTTGTTGGGTGTAGATATGGGTCCAATTTAATTCTTTTACATGCAAATATCCAATTATCTCAGCACCATTTATTGAAAATACTCTTTTCTGCATTGAATATTCTTGGCTCTCCCGTCAGATATTAATTAACTCCATATGTGGGGATTTATTTCTGGGCTCTCAAATCTGTTCTGTTGGTCTGTTTTTATGCCAGTACCATACTGTTTTGGTGACTATAGCATTATAGTGTAGCTTGAAATCAGAAACTGTGATGTCTTTGTTCTTTGTTCTTTCTCAGGAATTTTTTTTTTTTTTTGGCTACTTGGGGTCTTTTGTGGCTCCATATAAATATTAGGAGTATTTTTTCTACTTCTGTAAAAAATACTGTTGGACTCTTAGGAGGGATGACATTGAATCTATACATGGTTTTTGGTAGTATTGACATTTTAACAATATTAATTCTTCCAATCCAAGAACATAGGTTACTTTTCCATTTATTTGTGCCTTAGAATTCTTTTTTTTTAATATTTTTTTAAATTTTTTATTTATTTTTTTTAATTTATTTATTTATTTATGATATTCACACACACACACACAGAGAGAGAGAGAGACAGAGACACAGGCAGAGGAGAAGCAGGCTCCATGCACCGGGAGCCTGATATGGGATTCGATCCTGGGTCTCCAGGATCGCGCCCTGAGCCAAAGGCAGGCGCCAAACCGCTGCGCCACCAGGATCCCTAAAATTTTTTATTTATTTATGATAGTCACACAGAGAGAGAGAGGGAGAGAGGCAGAGACATAGGCAGAGGGAGAAGCAGGCTCCATGCACGGGGAGCCTGACGTAGGATTCGATCCCGGGTCTCCAGGATCGCACCCTGGGCCAAAGGCAGGCGCCAAACCGCTGCACCACCCAGGGATCCCTGTGCCTTAGAATTCTTTCATCGGTGTCTTGTGATTTTTCAGAGATCTTTCCCCTCCTTAATTACATTTGTTCCTAGGTGTTTTATTATTTTTGATGCTATTATAAATGGGATCAATTTCTTTTTTTTTTTCCAGAAAATTTGTCATTAGTGCATGGAAATACTACTGATTTTCATATTTAATTTTGTATCCTGAAACTTCAACTGAATTTATTGATATTGGATCTAACATTTTTTTGGTTGAGTCTTTAGGATTTTCTTTATATGGAATCATGTCATCCCCAAATAGAGACAATTTTACTTCTTCCTTTCCAATTTTGATACCCTTTATTTCATTTTCTTGCCTGATTGTTCTCCCAAGGAATTCCAATATTGGAGCATGCTAGAGCATGAAGAAAGGTGAAGAATAGAAGTAGAAGGGCAAAGGGAAGATGTAAGATGCTCTTGCAAGATATCCCTTCCCCCTCTATCTTTCTAGGAGAGGGAGGTCCTCTTGTAATTATAGTGGACCAGCTGTAATGGCTCTGATGGTAGACAGGGATGATGGAAACCTCTATCCTTTTGTCTTCCAGGCCTTCTCAGTGCCTTAGCCACCCTCATTAGCCTCCCCTAATGTTGGCACTACCCTCGAGTGGTCTGAACAGGTTAGATAGATTCTAACCACTCATTTATTTATTTGGATAAAATTATTGCTATCTTATTTGAGACAGGAACCAGAATCCTAAAAGATATCCTTTGTTCAGAGTGCCTCAGCTTCTGCCTCTAGAATCACAGCACCGTCATTAACGGGGCAATATACAGTATGACCAGTTGGGCTGTGATTATATTTGAACCTATTGTTGGCACTAGGCCAAAGCCCAATTTTGAATTGGGCAGAGTTGATTGACAAACTATAATAGTTTTTCATATAAAGAAAAGCATTTTTTTATTGAAACATTGACCATGAAAGTAATTACTTTTCCAAATTTAATATAGGTGGCCTAAGAAAATCTCCTAAAAAATAGTGACATTTTTTATTGTTATTGTTTTCTGCAAAGAAGGATTAAATCACTAGCAGCTTGTTTTTTGATAATTTTGAAATTGAGTGATGGCAAAATGTCTTTTAATGAATAGACTATGCCCTTAAAATACCTAGTTTTCCGTAGGAATATTTTTTAAGAAAATATTATGTAACATTATTTAAAATACCATTATGCTCAGTTTTTGGTCTAGAAATTTTTAAAATTAAAGTTCTAAAAATAAAGTTCGAATACATTTATATTTAGTTGGTATTAGTGAAATCCTATGCATATTAATGCTTGGGATCAGAAGGCTGATGTCCATAGCTGCAATTATTATATATTTTTTTAAGATTTTACTTATTTATTTTAGAAGTAGAGAGCAAGCAGGGGCAGGAACAGAGCAAGAGGGACAAGCAGACTTCCTTGCCAAGCGTGGAGCTGCCATGGGGCTCGATCCCACAATCCTTAGATCATGACCTGAGCCAAAGTCCAGAGTCAGATGCTTAGTCGACCTCTGAAATTATTTTATATATATGTGTGTGTGTGTGTGTGTGTGTGTGTATATGTATATATATATATATATATATATTATATATATTTAAAGATTTTATCTATTTATTCATTAGAGACAGAGAGAGAGAGAGAAAGGCGGAGACACAGGCAGAGGGAAAAGCAGGCTCCATGCAGGGAGCCTGACGTGGGACTCGATCCCGGGACTCTAGGATCATGCCCTGGGCTGAAGGCGGCGCTAAATCGCTGAGCCACCAGGGCTGCCCTGAAATTATTATATTTCTAATTGAATTGTTAATTTGAGAAATTGTAGATTCACGTGCAGATGTAAGAAATTATACAGAGAGATCTTGTGGACCCTGTGACAAGTTTCTCCAATGGCAGCATCTTTCATAACTGTCATATCAAACCAGGATATTGACATTAGTGTAATCCACTAATCTTGTTCAGATTTCCTATTTTACCTCTAATCATTTATCTATGTGTATATTCAGTTCTATGCAGTTTTTGTTTTGTTTTGTTTTTGTTTGTTTTTTTAGTTCTATGCAGTTTTAATCACATACATCGGTTAGTGTTGTCTTCACCAGTTCCATGATTACAAGGATCCTTGTGGTGGCCTTTATAACCCTACCCACTAAGTGGATGGGGGCCTGCCTAACCTTTGACAACCACTAATCTCTTCTCCATCTCTCTAATTTTGTCATTTCAGGAATGTGACCACATGGGGCACCTGGGTGACCCAGTGGTTGAGCATCTGCCTTTGGCTCAAGTAGTGATCCTGGGGTCTTGGAATTGAGTCCCACATCAGGCTCCCTGCGGGGAGCTTGCTTCTCCCTTTGCCCATGTCTCTGCCTCTCTCTCTCTCTCTCATGAATAAATAAAATCTTAAAAAAAGAAAAGAATAGAACCACACAATATGCAACCTTCTGTGATTGCCTTTTTTTCTCTTAGGTTATAATTCCCTAAAAACTATCCAAATTATTGCATGCATCAATAGTTCTTTCCTTGTTGCTGAGTAGTATTCCAGTATGGTATGGATGTACCACAGTATAACCATTCATGCATTGAAGGACATTCGGGTTATCTCCAGTTTTTTGCTATTATGAACCTGCTGTGAACTCTCATGTACAGGTTTTTGTGTGAATATAAGTCTTAATTTTGCTGGAATAAATTAAGTAATAATTAAGTAATTACACACTGCCCAGGTATGTAATTACTAGGTTATATGTTAGATGCAACTACTGCATTGCAAAATTGACCAGAAAGTACAGAAATTTCCCCCCTCCCCTGCATTATCAACACCCCCCCCACCAGAGTGATATATTTGTTATAATTGATGAACCTACGTTGACACGTCATTATTACCCAAAGCCCATAGTGCGTGCTAGGGTTCATTCTTGGTGATGTACATTCTCTGAGTTTGAACAAACATACAGTGGTACACATCCATCATAATAGGATCATACAGTCTTTTCCCTGCCCTAAAAATCTGTGCTTCACCTGTTCATCCCTTTCCAGCACCCCAGCCCCTGGCAACCACTGATCTTTTTACTGTCTCCATTGTTTTACCTTTTCCAGAATGATGTATAGTTGGAATCATAGAGTATATAGCCTTTTCAGATTGGCTTTTTTTTACTTAGTACTACACATTTATGGTTCCTTCATGTCCTTTCATAACTCGATAGCGTTTCATTTTTAGCACTGAATAATATTCCTTTGTCTGAATATACCACAGTTTATCCATTCACACAGTGAAGGACATCTTCACTGCCTCCAAGTTTTGGAAATTATGAGTAAAGCTGCTCTGTACATCTGTGCAGGTTTTTGTGTTGACATAAATTTCCAACTCCTTCAAGTAAATACCAAGGAGCGCTATTGCTGGAACATATGGTTAAGAGTATGTTTAGTTTTTTAAAGTAACTACCAGACTGTTTTCCAGAGTGACTAACTATATCATTTTATAATCTCAACAGCAATATAAGAGTAGTCTGGTTCTCCATATTCTCTCCAGAATTTGGCTTCATTAATTTTTATTTAGTTACAGTGATAGTGGTATGTGCTGTGATTTTAATTTACATTTCCCCAGTGGCTAATGTGGTTGAACATCTTTCTGTGCACTTTTTTGCCATCTGTATATTCTCTTCAGAGAAAGGTCTGTTTATGTCTCTTGCCTGTTTCTATTTATTACTATCTTTTGAAATACTGAGTTTTGAGAATTCTTTATATATTGTAGGTACTAGCCCTTTGATATATGAGTAGCAAATATCTTTCTTAGTCTATAGCTTGTCTTTTCATGCTCTTAATAGAGTCCTTCACAGAGCAAATGTTTTTAATTTTCTTGAGGTCCAGTTTATCAATTTTTACTTTATAGAGTTCTGCTTTGGGGTCACATTTAAGACTTTTTTTGCCTAGCCTTGAATCCTAAAGATTTTTCTCCTGCTTTTTTCTTTTATCCTAAAATCTTGTTTTGCAGTTTTAAGCCTGTGATCTGTTTTGAGTAATTTTTGTAAAAGTTTGAAATTATTTTAAATGAGGAAAAATCAAGGTCTTAGTCACCTATATTTATACTGCCTTTATTTTTTTCTTAAATATTTTATTTATATATTCTTAAGAGACACAGAGAGAGAGGCAGAGACACAGGCAAAGGGAGAAGTAGTCTCCACGCAGGGAGCCCGACGTGGGACTCGACGTGGGACTCAATCCCGGGACCCCGGGATCACACCCCAAGTCAAAGGTAGACACTAAACCACTAAGCCACTCAGGCGTCCCTGTACTGCCTTTAAACTGTTGATGGGCTGATAAAATATGATCTGTGGATAGTTTGGCTTTTCATCCTGGGTTTGATGTATCTTCTAAAAGTAATTTAATATAAAAATTCAGTTAAATGGATGGCTTGATTAATGTTTTAACCTTTAGTTGCTGAGTGTCTTTTGAAAAAATTGATCTTGGTTTGCACTCGACAGTTTTATAGTAATTCACCTTGAGCTTAGATCTTCTGCAGCATGTGCAAATGTCTAAGGAGGAGTATTCCAATTTACAGTATTACGGGAGAAAATCTAGAAAGTGTTAAAAATTAGACTGTGTGAATTACCATTTTCACTTAGGAAGCTTATTAGAGACCCTTTATTCATCCATTGTCCTGAGAGTTGGAGCGTCAGAGGAAATTTGAGGAAGACCACAGGCTTTGATATTAGTTAGACTTTGTGTGTCCAAAGCCTGGCTCTGCCACTTAACTAGCCCTGTAACTTAGTCTCTCCTTGCCTTAATTTCCTTATTTTAAAATGGATGTGATAATTATCCACCTCATAAAGCTATTGTGAAGCTATTATTTAAAACAGTGTTTGGCACATAGTATGCACTCAATAAATTGTAGCAATTCTTTTCCTTTTTCTTTTTTTAGATTTTATTTATTTGAGAGAGCACAAGTTGGGGGAGGGGCAGAGGGAAAAGCAGACTCCCTGCTGAGCAGGGACCTTGACAAGGGGCTCCATTCCAGGACCCCAAGATCATGACCTGAGCCGAAGGCAGCCACTTAACCAACTGAGCCACCCAGGTGCCCCTAAACTTTAGCAATTCTTATTCCTGAAGCATCGATTTTGTGTGAAGGTAAGTGGGAACATATTACTTTTATATTAAGACACGTATGGTTCAGTTAGGAAAGAATACACAATTCAAATAATTTATAGCACTTAAACAGTAAAAGACTTGAGGCAAATTTTATGCTTTTAATCCTCTTTGGCCACCTGGTATTCATTCTCTGCCAAGAGGTATTTTCTGAAAAAAACTCTTTGAAACACTACCCATTCCTTGTCCTAATTAGACCTTTCCTAATATTTGTTTCCTTTTCAGGCTAGACAGATCTTTCACAAATATCCAGTATAGCTGGTTTAAAAGCTTGTCTGGTAGGTATACCTTCCTCCAGACCAGCATGGATTTGAGCTTGAAATGTACTACCCTTGTAACAGACTCTTCAGGAAAAAAAGTGTGGTTGGTCAAATACCCTAGTTCATTTTTTCAGGATTTGTCCTTTCCTTTAATACTATTAATTCCTTTAAAAAAAAAAAAAAAGCTACAATTCTCAATAGGCTACACACAGACATTTGTTTCAATGCAGATTTCTTTGGCCAGTATCAATATTTTAAAAGACATTGTAATGAAGAAGGATTGATGCTTAGTCATAGTGGAACCAGCCTAGCACCTATCCTCTTTGTACCTGTAAAGGGAAGGAAAAATTCACCCTCTACCCTTCAACATCTTCTAGCTGGACTAAGAATTAAATTTACAAGAGACAAATTAACAGAAAAAAAACAGAGTTTTATTACCTGGGCGCAGAGGCCATGGAATGACATTGACAACTAAAGATAGGACCAAGACAGGCAGTTTTTATACTTTCTAGACAAAGAGACAGTAAATCTGTGAGGAATTGACAGGACAGAGAAAACTTAACTTTGGGGGCTCTAATTAAGTAAGGAATTCTTAAGAGAATTTGGATTGTGCTAGTAAAATAGTAAAAAAGTAAAAAGGGTTGTTTATATTAGCCTTCCTGGTTCTAAATGTCCTATCTCTGGACATCAGAATGTCTCTACCTTCTCTGATACTCAGAGGACACATCTCCCATGGGAGATTTATTTCCTGCATAACATAGGGTCTCAGTATCTTTCCTGCACAGGCTGTCTCTGAAGCAGCTTTTATTTAAAATAATGTGCCAGAGTGACACATTTGGGGCAGCCTGTCCTTGGCACCCCTACACCTGCTTGGCATTGTTGGCCCCCAGTTCATGCTTTTCAGTCTGATTACTCACAACCACTCTTATCAAAGGAACTGGGTCCCACGATGATAGAGAACAGCCCATTTCCCCTTGAAATGGTTGCTTGCTTGTCTATGTATCTATTTATTTACTGGTATTCACTGGTTTTGCATGCAGAAATGTTTGAACCACTCGAAATCAAGGCCCCTTTATGTACGTCAAAAATAACTGAGTAACTACAATCTTATTCGTGGTAAAATTTAAGAACTTGAGATTTGTAGAACTATTATTGAAAGGTTTTTTTTTTTTTAAGATTGACTTATTTATTTGAGAGAGAGCACAGGGGGAGGGGCAGAGGGAGAGAAACCCAAGCAAACTTCACGCCAAGCACACAGCCCAGTGTGGGGCTCAATCCCACAACCCTAAGATCCTGACCTGAGCCAATACCAAGAGTCAGATATCTAACTGACTGAGCCGCCCAGGTGCCCGTTACTGGAAGTATTGTTACTGCTATAGCATTGAAATAAAACGCATTCCATTTGTGGCTAAAAATTACAATAATGGACTTGCACATCTGATATTAGTTAAAACCTTAAAATAGTTTATTGTCACAGAATGTTTGACATATTAAAATGTCAGTAGTTTATGTCAACTTCAATAAAAGATGCCAGCAGTTTTATTGGGAAAAAATGTTATTGTCATAACTAAAATATAAGGTGAAATAAATACAATGAAAGTAGACTCTGAAGTAGATTATGAAAGCTAGTTTCTGATTTGTGGCAGAAAAAACTTACCAGATGATTAAGAAGATAATTTTATTCAGGCTCTTGCAACAGGGAGAATGTCCATTAAAATGGGACATCTCTCAAAGAAGAAAATGTGGGGACTTATGAAATGAGATGAGTCAAAGAGGAAGTGTAGAAGTGAGACCTATTGGGAATATGGTGAACCCTTTCTTGGAACATTAACCATTTTTGCTTTCTGGGAGCAGTATTCTGGTAATAGAGAACTTTGATCCCTAACAGATGGAACAAGGTTGCTGATAATTAGTTATGTTTCCAAGTCATGTGGCATGTTCACCACAGTTTGAAAAGAGGATTCAAAGAAACCAAAGTCTCATTCATAATTTAAGTTAAAATCTATAGGCTTCTTAATACTTATTTCTACACTATAGGACAAAAACAAGGTAGTTTTGTCTTCTGGGGGTGATCAGGAGATGAAACTCCTTAGAAGCTAATAAGCAAGGGGAGAAACCGGTGGAGAGGAAGGTGTCAAGACCAGGGGCAGGTCAGTGGGTCACATTGTCAAAGTAAGACCCAATGTTAGTGACAGTCCCCTAGGACTCTTCCAGGGAGGACAGGGGGTAAAGATGGGCTGGGCATTCATAAATGAGCTGGAGTAGATGAGGGAAGTCCTTGGACTTTATTAAAGGATAAATTGGAAGCGGACAAAGTCATGACCCATACAAAATCAACTTGTATCAGCAATTTTATTTAACTCATTAACTAATGAAAGAACTGGGCAAAATGTCACAACGATTTTAAAGGAAAAGTTAAAGAACCATAATTTATATGGAGTAAAGGAATGTTGAACTGAGTTTACAAACAGAAGTGCAACTAGCTCCCCCCTACCCCCCTGCTGAGGGAAGGGTTGCCCCTCCAGCAGACAATTATTTGCATGTCTGTAGACAAGAATTATTTGCATTCCCATCAGCTATCTACAATTTACAAAGGTGTGAAATAGCTCAAAGGTAATGAAAGGACTGAGCCCCAAAGGATCATATAATTCCCAGAGGCTCAGCATTCCACTGGAAGTATATTCAGGAATCTCTAGCTTCTGCCAAAGTCTTAAATTTTTCCCAGCCATGCTTGGTCTGTAAGTAACTACATTAATACTCCTATTGCTCATAGTATTTCCTCTAATGGTCATCTATCAATGATTGTCCATATTCCTTGCTTTATAAGCCATGTCTGACCATCAGTGTCCTTTCCCTTTTCTCCACTCTTACTGATCTCCATCATGACAGAGTCTGAGACAACAGGAGTGTCAAAAGCTGTATCCAGCTACAAGGACAGTGTGTTCACGTTTAGATTACTTTTGCTTAACATCTTATCTTTTTCTTGGCACGGCATTTTTCATTTTTCTATTTACTGTTGAAAGTACTGAACAGATCTTCCTATTATCATTTAATTTTAAGTTGGGAATTAATCCTCAATAACCACAATAGCTTGACCACATAGCGTTCCAGCTAGGCTTTCATCTGTTAAGTTAAAGGTGGAAGTTAATGAATTGGAGGTGGCCCTGTGAGTGTCAGCCTGGGTGGTTATGCCCTTCCAAGGGACATACAACTGGCATCCAGTGGATAGAGGCCAGGAATGCTGCTAAACTTCCTAGACTGCACAGGCCAGCTCCCCACAACAAAATTATCCAGTCCCTAATGTCAGCAGTGCCAAGGTTGAGGGGCCCTCATGGGCCACTGGAGAATGTTAAAGGAAAGGCAAAGTTTCTGCTTTGATAAAATTAAAAATAATTTTACAGTCTTAAATCTGTATGGAAAGCATACATTTCATTTTTATGGTCTTAAAATAATCTTATTACCAGTTTTCCATTTTAGAAATTAAGCAATCAGCGTTAGCGTTAACTTGAGAGACTAAGTGATTAAGTGGAAACAGATGCCTTTCCCCTGTAATATGAGATGCATATAACGTTTGTAATTTTAAAATTATTGTTCCTATTTTAGGTGTTACTGAAGAAACATCTTACAGATTTGTCGCATTTCTGAGATTAATATTTACAGTTTGGAGTTGTCACCTTTCTCATGAGATATGTTTTGGCAGTCCCAATGGTCCCAATGAAAGCTTTCTTTGACATTTTAGAACAATTATACAAGAAGGTACTTCTGGGAGCCACACTTGAAAATGAGAGCCATGATTACATCTTTTATCTCAACCCAGCATCTTTAGATCTAGATTGCTCTACAACTACCTCTTCAGAATGCTCAAACCACCATGATGTCCAGGGCAGGCATCAGCCATCCTCTGCCAATTTGGCTTCCATTTCTGTAGTGCCTGTGCATTTGAAGAAACACTCGCCAATATGCAGTGCCCGAGAAATAACGCTCCTTCAGTTAACAGTAATCAAAGTGATGATAACCAGAATATTGTCTGCCGAAACTGACTCCCATGCAAAGGAGAAATACAGAGATGTAATTAAAATTCTTCTAAAATCATCTGACATCGATTCTAAATTAGTAAGCCATTTGTCTTTTGGGGTTTTTTTGTTTGTTTAGATCCATCTTTTTAAAACAAAAGTTTTTAGAACATTCAGCAATCGTGGGTAAATTTATTTGTTTTCCTGTAGACCTGTATGTTCCAAAACTCGGATAAATTGTTATGTCACATGGCTGCAAAGTGCCTTGCGCTACTTCTGTATTTCCAACTGAGGGAAGAGGTAAGATAAGTAATCAAATTATGTGATTTCTTTTACAGTTTCTTTAAAATTGTTCTTTAGCACCCGATCTTACCCTTCAAGTGGTTGTATCAATAAAATGTTTGCTCATTTTATAATATATAAATCTACAAAAGTGTAAGAATACTATAATAGTGACCTGTACCAAAAATTAGGCTTAAATATGTCATAAATCATTATAAATTAAATTCTTCACCCAAAGGATGGGTTTCAAGTCAGTCCATAACTTCTTTCAGTTTCTCAAAGGAACAGGTAGGCCTCCTTCCTTTTCTCAAAAAAAAAAAAAAAAAAAAAAATTAAAAAGATTAGGAACCTCTGCTGGAGACCAAGGCCATTTTGAAAGGTTTAATATCAATAAGTTCTAAGAATGAGCATGATGAAAAAAAAACAAATTGAGCATCAGATTTTTCTCTTATCTCTGCATTAGTTAATAAATGTAAGCATTTACTGATTTATTTCAGCTATAATTACTTCTTCCTTTCTCAAAATAACATTTTTTTAAATACAAAAGATGTAGTAAAAAATTTGAGAAATGAGAGAACGTATAAAGAACAAAATAAAAGCACACATCATTCTACCACCTAGAAATAATCACCACTAATGTTTTTATGTTCCCAGTTGAGCCTTTATTTCTATGGCACACTGAGTTTTTTTACTTAAAGGATATTAGGATATTTGTTTTACCAAAAACTGTACTTTTGTTTTGTTTTGCAAGCGTAAACAATGTTATATAGAGTTGTACTGTATATAATAGATAATTTGCAATTATAAAGAAAATTTTCTATTACAACTTGCTTCTTTTTGTTTTCTCACTTGTAGATAACATTGAGTAATTCCTGGGTTGCTTTTTGCCAAAAAAATCTCTCTGAATACCCTGAAAATGAGAAGGTGGTATATTGCCTCTGGACCCTTACTGTTATAATAAAAGAAATCTTTAAAGATACATGTTCACAAAAAACAGGTACAAATTATGATTCCCTATGAATATCATTCTTTTGCTTCCAATATGTTTATATTGAGGATTAAAACTTAATTTACAGCATCTGATCTGTCCCAAAGTATGAAAAACTAAAGAATCTCATTCCAAATTTTTTGACTGAAGATACCTTTTTCCTGGGATCCCTGGGTGGCTCAGCGCTTTAGCGCTTGCCTTCAGCTCAGGGCGTGATCCTGGAGTCCCGGTTTCGAGTCCCGCATCAGGCTCCCTGCATGGAGCCTGCTTCTCCCTCTGCCTGTGTCTCTGCCTCTCTGTGTGTGTGTGTCTCTCATGAATAAATAAATAAAAACTTAAAAAAAAATTCATGAAGATACCTTTTTAAAAATAAAACATCATAAGGCAAAAATTAAAGCTATTCTTCTATATCATTTTTGATATTTGTAAAATGGATAATTAACCATGGTTATTAGCTGTTATTCTTTTGTTTCAAGTTTTTATTTTTAAGATTTTATTTCTTAGAGCAAACGAGAGTGAGCAAGCAAGCAGAAGTAGGGGGAAGAGCAGAGGGAGAGGGAGAAGCAGGCTCCCCACTGAGCAGGGAGCCCAATGCAGAGCTTGATCCTAGGACCCTGGGATCATGACCGGAGCCGAAGGCAGATGCTTAACCGACTGAGTCCCCCAGGTGCCCCTCAAGTTTTTATTTAAATTCTAATTAGTTAACATATACTATAATACTGTTTTCAGGTGCAGAATTTAGTGATTCATCACTTAACATATAACACCCAGTACTCAACACAAGTGCCCTCCTTAATGCCTGTCGCCCAATTAGCCATCCCCCTCCCATACCTTTCCTCCACAACCCTCAGTTTGTTCTCTGTAGTTAAGAGTATATATTTCTGGTTTGCCTCTTTTTTTTTCTCTTCCATGTTCATCTGTCTTGTTTCTTAAATTCATATATAAGTGAAGTCATATGGTAATTGTCTTTCTCTGACTGATTTATTTCACGTAGCATAATGCACTCTAGCTCTATCCACATCATTTCTTATGTCAAGATTTCATTCTTTGTTATGGCTGAGTAATAATTGTGTATGTTTACCACATCTTACTATCTGTTATTGTGTGTTCACATTAAATAAACCAAATCCATCTTTTCATCTTAAAAAGTGATAATATTCATAAAAACTGAATTGCAAATTGTTTTAAGAAGCGTTTATTTTTCCTCATTTATAATTACTGTTTTTATCATTACAGAAATTTTAAAGCAGTTCCTGACTCCTTTTGATACTATTTTTGAAGTTTTTTACAATTCCTTATTTTCTCTGCATTTCAAGAGCTTTCAAGACACCTCTAAAATAATAAACAGCATGATATGTTCCCTGGAATTGCTTGAACTTCTTATAGCTTCCAGAATCCATCTGAAACTACATTTCACTTGCCAGAGGATTTTATTTTTGAAACCTTCTTGTGTGCTAGATGTCATTACCTGGCCTGTTGAGGCTTTTGTCAAAAGGAAGTTCATCATATTCATCAAAAAGTGCCTTCTCTGGAAAGTGGGTGAAGACCTTTGTTGGGGATCTGGCCCTGCCCTGATGCCACCAGACCAGCATTTAGATGTAGACATGTTGGCTTTAGCGGATGCTGTTTTGCAAGCTGTGGATTTGGGTTTATTGAAGACGTTGTCTGTCCGTGGAAAACCTCCCTGCTTTGGTGGAGATGAAGTTCAACCTGCATGTGAGTGTGTCCATGGTCCAGATCACGTGATTCTCAGAGCAGCAAGCCTACTTATCATTAAATCCTTAGAAATCAAGTTTCAAAGTTGTGCTTCAGCAAATGAAATAAAAGGTAATTCTCTGAACTCCTTTTATATGCAAAGTAATGAGGAATTGCTTATTCATATGAAGTAGTACATAATTATCAAATCTCAGGACTATAACCCCACTAATTTAATCTATATTTTATCATAATTATAATTTATCAAATTTTCTTTTAAAAAAGGATTAGGATTACATTAAGAAACATGTCAACATTTTGTGGGGTGAACTGAATTTGTATGGCATTTTTAATGACTAAAAACAGAGGTGCTATTGAGTTACCTCAAAGCAAGTGATAGTAGCCAGTTCAATTCAGATATTTGTAGTATTTCATTAGTATTTCCTTCCTAAAATTGGGTAACTACCAATGTAGATTATCAACACTAGAAAATGAATTGAAACTAACATGTGAGAGGTTACATCTATTAAGAAATTGTTACATATAACTTCCAGGATCTTAACTCCACATGTCCTCCATTTCATCTGCTAAAAAGGAATAGTAGATGTCTCTAAACAAGCAGTATATAGTTTTAGTGAAAGGTTTGAATTGTAAGCCGCGACTTCCTTAAACTGCTTTGGATGTCCTCGAACTTGTAATTACTATGTGTTAGATCTCATTCTCTGTGGTTATAATTTACAACACTAGGTGGCATATGTTCTATAATTCAGAGTTTTAAGTTACAGTTAAAACTCCTCAAATCCTTTTTGGCTTTTGTGCTTAATGGTACTTTTCTTTTAATACTTCAAAAAAATTTTTTTTCCTCTTATTTTGAAGGCAAATGATTTTTGCTTGGTTACGTTGTTGCCTCTAGTAACAGCTGCAGCATCCAGTGAAGTGCTGTCATGCCTACTACTCATTCATTTATATGCTGTTAGCAAGAATTCATGTAACTCTAATTTCTCCTAAATAATTATCTGGCACTTGTGGCAAGTGGATAATCTGGTTGTACTTTTTTTTTTTAAGATTTTATTTAGTTGTTCATGAGAGATACGGAGAGACAGGCAGAGACATAGGCAGAGGGAGAAGCAGGCTCCCTGCAGGGATCCTGATGAGGGACTTCATCCCAGGACCTGAGCTGAAGGCAGACATTCAACCACTGAGCAACCCAGGTGCCCCTGGTTGTACATTTTGATTGTATCCTTTTGAGTGACTCACTTTTTTCCTCTGACATTGTTTCCTTATTTGCAAAGTAGAGAAAATTCCTCACTCACAGGCTTTTTGAAAGTGAATTAATGATCATGCATGTTGGATTACTTGAAATGCAATAATTTTATATATAGGCAACACATTAATGCGTTCATCAGCAGTTGTCCACCCTTTGAAATTTGCATTTTTTTTTGAAGTTGATTTACAGAGTTTCATGTCTGAGTTATTGACATTCTTAAAGCCTCATCTTCAGCCCTCTCTTCAGTCACACAATCCATGTGAGTGGATCTCCAGGGTCTTCATAGAACAAGATGATGACATGCTGGAGGCCGCCAAAGCATCACTGGGCATCTACCTAAAGTTGACCAGGTTAGTATATTTTAAAGTAATTTTGCTAACTACATGCCAGCAAAGCAGAAAACATTTTTAATAATGTGCTGGACATACTATTTACTTTCCATCATTAAGGGGGAAAAAATCCCTAACAATCTTGTGGTTTCCTTATAAGTTCCAATTCCTTGCGTTACCCCTGCCCTACATAAAAATGAGATTACATTTGTGTTCTCATTATGAAAACTTGGCTGGGTAGGCAGATCTAGGGTAGTAGAACTAGACTAGGAAGCTAGAAAGCATGGATTCTGGTTTAGCTTCCATTTTACCTGTGCAATCAGGAGTAAGCTAGTATCATTGTCTGAATTTTAATTTATGCATAAAAATGCTTTTCACCCCCAAGACTCACTCTTCCAAAATGAGCTTCCATGTGGTCATTTTTACCTTTTTAAAAAGGTGACTACAAACTTGTAAGTAACCAAAGCAACAACTCAAAATTTTCATGTTATTATACAGCTGAACTAGGGCTGATAGCAACTCGAGGCAGATACTGAGGTTGGTTATGAAGCTATGTCACTGAAGACACTGTATGCTCACCCTATTTCTGCTTTATGAAAGCCACTGTACACAGGGTCATGTCATCCCATGGCAAATGTCTGTAATTGGTTATGAAGCTCATAACTGATGACCTTTTATACTACTTCTGCTCTGCTTTATTAAAACCCTAAAGTATTTGCTTTATTTCCATCCTGTCTTGGCTTCAGAGAAAGGGATTTCTTACTAATGACCAATGGTGCAAAGCTCTGCTGCCAGTTCTTGTATTATGGCACTATTGGCAGTGGCTGCTTTCAGATTGTAAGTGTTTGAGGCCAATTTTCAAAAGGTTCTAATCAAGAACACAAAACTCCTGCATGTGATTTGAATTAGGCTCCTAAACAGTGAGATAAAAATTCAGTCTGGAAAAGCACATGCGTATTAGAATAGATCTCTGTTGTACTCAAAGCAGACTTCTTACTGCTTAGGAAAGAGCCTCAGAATTAAATCTAGAACTTTTTTCACCTCAGTGTGGCCAGAGAGGCATGTGCTCATGCCATATGTAATTTTTTTTTAAATGTAACTATAGTAGTTACAATAGTTTTATTGAAAAGGATAGAAATGAACACAAACTACTAATCTAAGCAAAAAACAAAACAAAATATGGAATTTATTAGCTCACAATTGGAAATTCATTCCAAGGGGGCATATTGGCATCAGACATCATTGTATAATGGGATTCAGTCACGTCATTGATCATTGCTCTTTTTCTCTCTCTTGCAACTCTGAATTCATTCTCAGGGCTTCCAGCAATGCCTAGCTTATAGTAATCATCTCTAATAGCTCCAGCAGAAGTCCCAGGGTGGGGGATCTGATAGCCTGCTTGGGTCACAGATCCATGTTGGAAGCAATCATTGTAGCCAGGTGCATGAGGCACTCTGACTGGTCAGTCTGGGTCCCATTCCCAGCCCTACTGAGGAGAGCATGGAAGGAAAGGAAGGAGGTCAGTCTCCAGCCCCATGTTACCCTGTGTAATTAGTTACTTGTAGCAATGAGGATGTTAAGACACAGGAAGACAGAGGACTTTTGTTCAGCAATGACCAGAACTACCAAATTCAGTGGATTTTATTTATTTTATTGAGCTAGATTTATATAGAGTTTGTAGAGGAAGAGATTGTTTTGAATTTTTTTTTCTTTTAAAAGAATGCACAGATTAAAAGTTTTCTGATAGGGGAATCTGTGGTATGTGAATTATATGTTAAAACTGTTACCTTTATAAAAAGTCATTAATCTTGGGTCTTCTCACCTTCATTTTCAGACAGTGTAAAGCCACTGAAGGCTTGACCCAAGAAAAAGAAATGTGGAACCATCACACACATAAATATGGCTATAATCCACACTGTATTTTCTTATTCTTATTGAAAAATATAGGATTTGATTCTTCAGTTCTTCTTGACTTTTTGATTTCATCGGAAACCTGTTTCCTCGAATATTTTGTTAGATATTTAAAATTACTGCAAAAAGATGGGGCTAGTTTTTTCACAATTTGCAAATATTTTGATGTAACCGAACTTAAAGATAGCATAAATATTTGTGGTTGTAGCTCCTCACTTGTCCAAGACCGAAGCAGCAACCAAACTGAACTTAGCCTTTGGGCTGCTCTTGGTAGTCACAGATATGCCCACGCTTCGGTCCCCTGGGCTTCCGATGCTTCTGGACCTCTGAACCAGCCTGTGATGTCCAAGGAGCCGCACGTCACGCTCCAGGCTGCTGCTGGTCTGTCTCCCCCACAAGCTTCTCAAAGTCTGGTAGATTATGACAGCTCTGATGATTCTGAAGTAGAAGTCACAGACCAGCACTCAACAAACAGTAAACAAACATCTTTACAGCAAGAAGCAAAGAAGAAATTTCAGGACACAGTTAGAACAGGTACAGATGAAAAAGAACTTAGCATGGAGCCTCAATCAAGGCCTCTGGTTCCAGAACAATCTAATATTAATATTCCCTTCTCTGTTGACTGTGACATCTCCAAAGTAGGAATATCTTACAGGACACTGAAGTGCTTTCAGGAGCTACAGGGTGCCATTTACCGTTTGCAGAAAAAAAATCTTTTCCCCTATAATGCCACAGCACTTTTGAAGTTGTTAAAACATACTGAGTCAATATATAATGAGAGCATGAACTCTTTGTAAAACAGTAGCATTTTGTTACCAGGAACTGTTTTTTCCTGCTATAAATTGTGCTTTAATGAAATAATAGTTAGTAAATAAATAAATAAATTAATTAATTAATTAATTAATGCACTCTCTAAATCAAGTGTATCTTTTTGCCTTTTCAAAGTAACCTAGTGACTGAATAAGACACCTCATCTGATACAGTTGTACATCATTTGAAATTTACAGACATTCAAACTTAATGCAGATTTGGGATATTATATGAGTCCACTCGAGCTGCTGTAACAAATCACCAAAATTTGGCAGCTTAAAACAACAGAAATCTATTCTCTCGTAGTTCTGGAGGCTGAAAGTCTATAATTAAGGTGCCAGCCAGGCCATGCTTTCTCTCAAGGCTCTAGGGAAGAATCCTTTCCCACCCATTCCTGTCCTTTGGCAATTGTTGGCCATCCTTAGTGTCCTGTAGCTTGGAGCTATGCCAGGACAGTCTCTTCCTCTGTTGTCACATGAGGTTTTCCTGGTGTATCTGTGTCTGGTTTCCCTCCTGGCGACACCAGCCGTTGGATTAAGGTCCACTCTTATCCACTGTGTCCTCATCCTAATTTGATTATATCAGCCTAGACCCTACTTCCAAATAAAGTCACATTCACAAGTTTTGGGTAGATGTGAATTTGGGAAGGGACACTATTTAATCCAGTATGCTTATTATTTCCCTCTGAGGTATTTACATGTGATGGGATATGTAAAAAACGTAAAATCTTAGGGTTTTTTTTGAGAGGTGATTAGCTCTCTGTATACATGTAGGTGTATGATCTATTCTGTGAACATGAGTCTATTTTTTTTTTAAAGATTTTATTTATTTGAGAGCACAACCAGGGAGAGTGGCAGAGGGAGAGGGAGAAGCAAACTCCTTGCTGAGCAGGGAGCCCAATGCAGGGCTCCATCCCAGGACCGTGGGATCATGACCTGAGCCAAAGGCAGACACTTGACCAACCCACCCAGGTACCCTCATGCGTCTGTTCTTTAAAACAAAATTTTAATCACCAGGTAATTTTCCTATTTAAAATTGTTGTAATGGCACCTGGGTGGCTCGGTCAGTTAAGCATCTAACTCTTGATCTGAGCTCAGGTCTTGATCTCAGGGTTGTGAGTTCAAGCTCTGCATAAGTAGGCTCCATGCCTAATATATAATAATTCTATTCTGTCTTTTTGAGGGGAGGCAGTAAGGCTGTGGTCATAAGAACAAGTCAGTACTGGGATGTCTGCGTGGTTCAGTGGTCGAGCCTCTGCCTTAAGCTCAGGGAATGATCCCTAGATCCTGGGATCAAGTCCCACATCAGGCTCCCTGCAGGGAGCCTTCTCCCTGCAGGGCCTTCTCCCTCTGCCTGTGACTCTGCCTCTCTCTATGTCTCTCATGAATAAATAAATAATCTTTAAAATAATAAAAAAAAAAAGGACAGGTCAGTACTCAAGTGGAAATGAAACTAAATAGAGAATTGCTAAGTAATGAGATGCTATCATTAACCAAATAGAAATGCAGAGCTCAAAAAGTTTGGTAATAGAGTTGGTATACATTGGGGCAGTTTCTACATAATTCAAGAAACACATTAAAGAGGTTATTTTCAGGGATATTCAATGCACATTTTAAAAGCAAAAGACAAATATCTGGTTAAATAAGATATATACTTAATAGAATAGAATACTATATACTCATGGAAAGAATGAGTTATATCCATTTTTACATCTACAGTAGAAGGCAAAAGTGAGTATTACGGGCTCCCATTTGTTTAAGAAAAGGAGGACAGGTATATAAGAGAATCCTAACAGTGGTTGCCTTGGGAAACAGATCTAAAGTAGAAAATTTGACCTTATATATTGTTTTTTACCCTTTTATTTATTTGTTTTTAACTGGTTACATAGATTTTTTTTAAATGTAGTGAAAATAAGTTCTTTTAAGAAAAAAAAAACAAAAAACAAAAAACATGATTCTTTATGCTCCTAAGGGTACATACATGTTGAATGCCTTAAAAGCCGTGCTTATACAGATGTGGTTTTGAGCTTTGTTTCTCCATAAGGTTCATAGGAACCATCAATCCTTTGTTATGTTGAAAATGAGGGCAAGGGCCATAGGTAAACGTATGAGTGCTGGCATTTCAGTCTCTGACCCTTGGGTATAAGTCAATTTGTCACACACTCATGAAGCCCTACTAGTGGTGAAGGTGACTGATGGCTATCCTTGGCCATTCAGAATATCGAAGAGCTCTTTTGAGTTAGTCCATAAAGGAACACCAAGCTAGTGATACTTGCAGGATGAATCCCAGCCTGTAGCTTCACCTCTTCTTCAAGCAAACACCTCCATGTATCCCAAGTGAATCTAATTTATTGTTTTAACTAAGAATAGATTAAAACAAAGTATGCGTAGAAGTATACAGCTTGGTGGATTTTCATAAAGAACATACCTTTGGAACCAATAACCACATCAAGAAACCACTGACACCCCAGAAGTCCTGCCTGGATCCCCTTCTGACCACTATCGACTGTAAAGGCAATTATCCCAAATCATAGACACCATAGACTGATTTTGCCAGGTTTTATCTTTATATAGGTGGAATCATAGGATATGTGTTCTTCTATTTCTGGCTTATTGATCATTTTGAGGGAGTGGGTTCAAATTTATTTTTTAAATAATTGCCAGATAGCTGGCCTTCAAGTATTATTAGTAACAAAATACTTTTAACACCTCCAAATTGTCTTTGGCACTCCCAGCATGCAAGGATGGTGAAATTGACAAACCGGTTGAAACAAAATACAGACTTAAACAGGTTATGCAGGGCCTTGTGCAATTGGCCCCAACCGGCTTCTCCAGCCTCATCTGTCGTTTTGCCCCCCTCCCCCACTGTCAGCATCACAACTTCTTGTCTTACATATTCATTCCTCAAACCCCATCTTAAATGTTGGGCCTGTGAAGCCTCCCCCACACTGTTCTGAACCATTAGGTCTTACATGCTTTGTATTCTCTTCACTGTGCTCTTTCCTGTACTGTAGCATTTGTCACTTTATATTTTAATCATTAATCAGTTTTCACGGGCCAAGCTCTTTTTACGTAATTCCTAGTGGATAGTATCATGTCTGTCCCATTATAAGCATCCCACAGATGTTGACTAAATGGGATAGAGCCCTTTCCAAGGACTTGATCATCTCCCAGAGGAGACAGATGTGCAGAGGCTTACCTTTAACTCTCCCATGATACTTGCTGTGTGCCAGCCACTGTGGTAAGTGCTCTAATAATCCTCACCATAATGTTGGAAGGCAGGTACTATTATAATACCTATTTCACAGATGAGATTAAGTAACTTGACCAAGATCACTCACCTGGCAAAGCAGCAGAGCCCAGAGAATGGATCCAGGCAGTCTAGTTCCAATGTCTTTTCATCCTCTTCTCCATGATAAGTCATGCCAGAAAGGGATGTGGGGGTCAGATCATCCAGAACGCTTGGTGCTTTGCTAAGCAGTTTTGACTGTTTTATAGACAATGGAGAGCTAATGAGGTTTTTGAGTAAATGACTGGTTTTCTGTTTGGAAAAAAGTGATTTTGGTAGCAATATAGTGGCTAGGCAGACAAGCAGCAAGACTGAAAAGAGTTCTGCAGAAGCCCACTAGAGTGAAGGGCAGTGGAGATGGAGAAGAAGCAGTATGGTCCTGGCTAAGCACCTGCATCCAGCTCTCTTCCTACAGAGACTCACTACGACAAGAATAAAGGGGCCAAAATCAGGAGCAATAAGATACAAGGACTGACTCAGTAGATCTAGGAAAACTAAATTCTTAGCTGCAATGGAAAAAAGTTGAGAAGCATCCTGGTTACCAGGTGGATCCCCCTGAAGACTTAAGGAGTATCAAATACTACACTGTGAACCAAGGGTACTCAGGTACATGAGAGGCTTACTTCCCAGAGAGAGTAAAACAGGGCCTTGGGACTTGGGGAACACCAGGGATATCTGAGTATAAGCATATCACACTGAAAAGGGGATTAATTAGACACTGCACATTGAGATCCACTCTGTTCCCAGCCTTCTCCCCCAAGAGAACAGATATCTCTTTTCTGAGGAATCTCATCAACTCAAGAAAAAAGATCCAAAGATGCATTGGAAGCTTCCCCAAAGAAATTTCTCACCGAGTCACCCACTCTGAAGCCCACAGTCACAAACCACACCCATGTGCATAGACCTTCTGATGGACATTTAAATGCCCAACTCAAGTATGAGTGAATAGCCAAGGATCATCAGGCATTTGGGGAAAGTCTCTAACATTAAAGAGAGGCCAAAACAAACTAAATACATAGGGGAGGAAGTTAATCCATGAACATTCCCAGAGATAAATGATTGTAAAACATATTACATAAAAAAGTGTATAAATAAACAACATGATAGCAGAAATGAAAAACAATGGAAATGTAGTCTAAGTTGAAGCAATCTAGAAAGTACAGCAACAGAACAAGTACAAGAAAAATTTTCAGAACTGAAAGACTTTGCATCTTAATGTATGCATATATAACTGAAAAAAAAATATATATATATATATAAATTTTGAAAAGGGAACAGAGGATCAGCCTGAAACAGGTGCCATTTTTTCATTCATGTGGCTAAAGCTGCTGCTGCCCATGGGTGCTTTAGCAAACACGGGAGGCAGTTGCATAGAAGTCTGATGAGAGTCATGGAGCAAGACATGATCGTCCTGAGACTAGAGAGAGGAGGAAGAAAAGGCTTGACAGAAGAAGGAAAGTGAAAGGACAAGAGAGCAAGAAATACTCCTAGGAAACCCTGAGGTGTTGGGCAGGGCTTTGAGATGGACAATGCATATGCAGTTGAGTATTTCTGAGAAGAAGCCCCTGGGTGCTTTGACTCTTCCTTAGGAGGCTGTTGGTTAAGTCTGAGAGAGCAATCTTGGTCAAACCAAGTATGCACAGGAGAGGAGGGAGGAGAAACCCCAAGGACAGTGGTTCAACATATTTGTGTTCTCTATACCATCTGAACAGTGGGATTTTTTCATGGCATCTTTGAAGTGATAGGCTGAAAAGCACACCATCCCAAGTCAACAATAATTTGAACACCATCCCCAAAAGTCCTGTTCTAGTCACCAAGCGCCTCCTCAGGCTCTGGTCTGACCTGCTGCTACTCCTCCCACCTCTTCTCGGACTTTGACTGCTTCTGGCGTTGGGAAACTTGACCTAAATACTGGACTTTAATTGGTCTTGTCACTGATGACAGTCTGTAGAGTTGTCTTGCTCTATTGTAATGGCTCCTTGAAAACTGTTTGATAAAATGCCTTTCCTGGTTATTATCATAACCCAAACTAGCAAACCAATTTTAAGTTTTTCTGATTATTGTAAGGATGATAGAGCTGAACAATGCAGCCTTTACAGCTAACACCATGTATCTGCTCCTAATTACAAAACTCCCTAGGATATTTTTTTAAGATTTGGGAAAAGCAGTGATCCTTTTCTAAATTTTCCATTGACATTGAGCTTTACCAAGTAGTCTGACCAAACTATATTACAGTTACTTCCAACACTGGGTAAAAGACATGTTTGTGTACAGCAAAATTGCTTGCATTTTTAATTTTGGAAACTTTTGCTTTGTTTTAAAAGAAAATACAATCTTTTGGTATGTAAAAGAACTGAGAAATGGCATGTAATCAGGGTATTATTTCCTTCCTGGTGAGAAAGGTTCAGGTATTTTTAGTTTGGTTTAAGACAAGAGTCTACCTAATCACTGAAAGCCATAGAGTTGTTTTTGGTTGTTTTTTTTTTTTTTAAGATTTTATTTATTTATTCATGAGAGACACACAGAGAGAGGCAGAGACACAGGCAGAGGGAGAAGCAGGCTCCTCAAGGAAGCCTGTTGTGGGACTCGATCCCTGGACTGATCATGACCTGAACCAAAGGCAGATGCTCAACCACTGAGCCACCCAGGCATCCCAAGCCATCGTTTCAAACATGCATTTACTTTGAAGATGTCTCCTAGGACTGGCGCTTGGGATTGTCTGTGGCTTCATGTCAGCACTTGTGTTTTTTAAATGTTTTAGGCCTTCTGTCAGACACATTTCTCTCTTGAGTCCCATAAAATGGACACACCAGCAGCACATTTATTATTGCCTATGCCTTTTTAAAAAGGTGTTCAATAAATTGTAATAAGGACTGGCCAGTTTCCTGGAAGCTAAACTATTTTTATTTGCTAAGAAAAGAAAAGTATGTTTTCTATCACTAAATTGCTGGGTGTTTCTGTTTGTTCATTTCTGAACCCAAAAGAGTAGTGTAGCTTTCTTGTATAAAATACAATTGGAATTTTGACTGTCAGTT